ACGATTTTGCTTACGTTTAGAGAAATAGCTGATTTTCTGAAGGTATCTGACGTAACTGAATGTGATCGAAGGCATTCCGTTTCCTTTGGAAACATTGCGTATGTCCTGATCAAACTGGGCAATACATTTGGAATTTCAGGAGCTGGTAACTCAAACTAATAACGTTTTCCGATTTCGTGGAAAGTTTCCGGTTCCTGTTCATCGTCGAATATCTAAAATTCAATGGTTCCAGAACAAAAAATCTCGTTCCGAAAGGCTTGGGCGAGTTTGTAACCTTTCCTTGGAACTAATGAAAAGCCTCCGATGAAATCAAAAATCATGAGCATCGTTTAATAGAAGGTTAAATGTGCCATTCAAATTATTGCTGCAAATTTTGAAAAGTTGCATGTATTTTAGTTTCGCTGGAGCAATGAAATTTGTAAATTATATTCATAAACGAGACGAGTTCAATTACAGTTCAGAATGAATATTGATCATGAAAAGCGATGTGATGAGGTGTATTCGCGTAGAAGTTGTAGTAGATGAGAACAACGGACGCGAATGCAATCGGCAAAATGAGTCGACAGATTTTATCGAGAACACTTATCGAGTTGACTTGTATTTCGAACGGATCCGTTCGCTTTCCCTGAAAACAAACTCATTTTCGTTCTGAACAGATGATTGCAGAAACTTTGCAAGTGAACAATAAACCGTTAATATCAAATCAAAAACGATTATTACAAGGATTCGGATGCATTTTAATCAAGAAATGATAAGAAGAACGCAGCAACTGACCAAATCAATCATCATGTAGTAAAGACGCCACCCAAGAGAATCTGTTTGAAATGTGCGAATATCAAATTCGCTTAAAGTTGAGTTCACTTTGGGTGTTGGTTGCTGCGTTAAGAGATAGTTTCCTTGAGGTGGTGGATCACTGTTCCGATGAGCGCATACTGAATAGCGACCTCCATCGAGTCGATTCTGAAAAGTTTCGTTAGTGGATTTATCAAGTGAATAGTCTGAAAATGNGAACTAACGAATCTATCTGAGACTGCCACTGAACGTCTGCGGAGTATCATCTGACGACCACTGAAAAGAAGTTATTTCTAGACACATTTTGGCGATAGAAAATAAGAACTGAGAATGAAATTGATGTTAATGCGCACATCAAAATGGAACCATTATGAGATTAATCTTGGTTCATCATAATATGTTCAAAATTAGAGTAAATATCGAGAATGATATGAAATCACCTCAACATCGCTTCTTTCGGAACCTTTCTCAGCATTCGTCGAATTCGGTCTTTCTCGGCCCTTTGCAATTCTGGATCAGCCGTGTTGAATTTCGTGTAGTAATGAACGACCGTGAATTCACAAATGCAAATCAACAATGTCATAAAACAAATCAGAATATAAACATCGAGTGCAGTCGGAAAATCCACACGAGGTGACTCGGAACGACTGTCAAACGACAGAAAAGTCATCGTTAGCACACTGGTGATGCCTGCAATTGACTGCTTCAAGCAAAATTTATCGTTTGACGTGAACTTAGTTCCGAATTATTCCACTTACCGAGACCAATACGATCTGAAGTTGCTTCTCGATTAATCCATAGTGCTACCCACGACAAAAGTACAATTAAGGTACATGGCACATAAAAATTTATTAAGAAATATCCAAAGTGACGATGCAAATAAAATCGAACTTCTAATGCCGAATAGTTCACTGAAAATTTCACAAAACTTGATTTGAAGTTGAACTGATTTCGCTTCAGTCGTGACCGGTCAATCTGCTTAAAGACATTTTGCCTAAAGACACATTGCCTAACGGAAAGTTTGCCTAAGGAACAGTTTGCC